TATTAATTAAAGAAAGTTAGAGGGGATACTGAAAATGACTTATTATCATTATAATATAATAAGTAAATTATAAGTTTTTTATATTAATAATTATTTAAAATAAGAAATTTGACTTTAGTAGCAAAATGACAGCATACAAACAAAATATTTTCATAGAAAAGTATACCTGAAAGCTCATTTTAGACCAAAACACTCTCACTTTTGGCCGTGAATTATTTTTTTAAAGTCTAGTACGACCAAAATTAGTTTGAAAACATTTTGAAACTAATTCAAACATGTTTTGATCATATGTATAAATTTTTTTAATATTTTCAAATATTGTTCAAACCCCGTTGAAATCATAAGTTCATATTCAAAGATAGGTTCAAACATAATACAAACAACATTCAAAGAAGACTCAACTTAAATTTTATTAAGGTTTGTACAAGGTTTGAAAATTTTTGAAGGGGTTAAACAAGGCTTAAATATGGTTCAACAAGGTTTCGAGGATGGTGCAACTACGATCGATACAATAGAGTGCATTCCAATACCTTAAACAGAGCATATTATAAGGCTACTACAACATAGTGCAATTATAGTAGATATAGCATAACAGATTATAACCTGAAAGAGACTAAACTAATAACTATAACATATCATAATGAAAAATATTATATCATTATATAACCAACAATTTATGATATTATTAGGCTGCACTAATGGGCATAACACGATAACGCCCACTTTCATTTGGATCATATGTGTCTTCTTTTTCAATTACATATATTTTTTCAAAGTAAATAGCTAGCCATACTGCCTATATATAGAATATTGAACATAAGCTATAATAACTAGCACACCAACCAATGGTTACAATCAGTATATGCTCACTTAAGAGGCTAATAACTTCATATTTTCTTCATATATGTGTCATCTCACACAAATAGACATCACCATTAAGTTCATCGTCAAAGACATGCTATCAAATTGACTAATATAGTAGACAATCAAGCCTTTTTAATTTCTTCAGTAACATAATTTATGCTAATTGCAATCTTACAATTATCAAAGTATTATTTTATATTATGTGCCTAAAAAGTTTATAGACATTAGAGATGAGCATGCAGTCGAACTAAATTAAAATTATTGAAGGTCTCAATATTTTTATTTAGCATCAAGCCATGTTAGTTTTTAGGGAAGAATGCATGAGCCTGACACTCAAAGCTAATCTCATTCTTAAGTTAAGTTTTTATTTCTCAACTCTTAAGATAGATTTTTTCAATGTGCATATAAAACTTATCCCTTTTGTAAGCCTTAGAAGCTAAGTAATTATTCTCACGATCACTATCAATTTTGAACTTCATCATGATATTCATTGCAACATCACGAGCATCAACCCAATAGTCCACCTCTCAAAAAATGGTTGATAGAGCATTTGTGATATTCCTTTGTATATAAAAGATTACTACCAAGTTTTCTATTATTAATTGATTCATTCATCCTAGTCATAAAATAATCCATAACTCATTATTTCTTTTTATTACTATCTTGTGCCACTAAGTACATCCATAATGTGTAGTAAAAATATTCCATATAAACTTAATTTTTAAAATCCTTGTATACAAACACTGAAGATTAAAAATTTTTCCTAATTTTTTTAGTGTAGTGTAGGTAAATAAGATGGCAACTACTAAAATGATGCGTTAGGAAGCCTTTTTATCTTAAGTAATAATCTACTCACTATACTATCAAGTCTTCTTGTAGGATAAATCAATACCTTAGCCCCTCTCTATATCTGACATATTTATCTTTGGCTTCATATTAGGATCAAAAGCAGTGGCGGAACCACTCAAAAAAAAAATTTTTTTTGTAGGAGTAAAAAAAAAAAAAAATTTATAAGAGAGCAAAAAAATTTTTTGCCTCTCCTAAAATTTTTTTTTGCCCCCCCTAAAAAACTCTTTTGTTCTAACTTGCCCTAATATATATATATATATATATATATATCTTTATATTTAGTTATAATATTCTCTTTCATGCTTTTCATGACAATTCAATTACACTTTTTTTTCTTCTTTTTTCTTGCTTAATTTTTTTTTTTTAACTTTTCGTAATATATGTAATTATTTTTTTTTAATATTTAATTATTTTTATGTTGTATTTGCCCCCCCTCAAAATTGAACCTGGTTCCGCCCCTGATCAAAAGCAATGTGCTTATCCTTAATAAAAGGTCCAATGAGCCATGTTTGAATTTGTAAGTGTGTTTTTTATCTAGCATGCAATGCGCAAGTGTGTTTTGACTCAAGGCTTGTGATCTCAAATATGCTTGAGGTTCTCAATTTCATAACTCATAAGCTCTATGAGCATTTCTCCAAAGCACAAAGCATGTACTATACTTATTTACTTGATTTTTTAAACTTGAAATAAAAGTGTTTTTTTTTTTTGTTTTTTCATTACATGGATGTGTAGCATCCACTTCAACTTTGGTTTGCTCTCAAAGAGTTGCCCAACTTGTAATTGCACATAGGACAAATATGAGCATAATTTCACTATATCAATAGTTATTAAATTGGTGGTACTTTCAAGTGCTGACCCTTATAGGATGGGAGTTATTTATGAGCTCTTTATAACTTGAATTATTGCTTTTAGTCCCAAGATACATGAAGAATCAAATGGCCTTACTTATTTATTGGTTATAGGTTTCTCATAAACTAGTTTGTAATCTCCAATGGATACTTTAAGGAGCATCCATGGAACCATTATAATATGAAGCCTATATGCCCAAAGCATCACCTACTTCTATAATTTTCATGTACACATAATCACCTATTTTTATATGTGATATGCTTACATGATCACCTATATTGATGAAAATGATGAACTGGTTGATCTTAAATTATCCTCATTTGCAAAAAAAAAAAAAAAAAGTTGAAATAGGCAACATAATTCAAGAAGGAAAGATAATAATTTATAAGTAACATAATTCAAGAAATTTAAATTGTTAATTGTACTCTACCTTTATGATACCTGACCTCCAATTTTAGACAAGATTGATTTTTATCATTCTTTGTCAGTTTATACATATGATATATGAGATCTTGAAGAAATTTTTTTAATTGTAACATAAACCATTTACTTCATCTAATTGTGAATGCCCCAATCAACTTGTCTATATTCTTTTTATTCTCCTCCATACATAATAAGAATGTTAAAATTTGGATTAACCTTTAGAAAATAATTGGTCAACAATTAATATAATTTTCATTCAAATTTGAATTTCCCAAGTATTAAACCTCATTGAAACATTGTTCGAATATGTTTGAAAAATGTATGTTGATGTCACCAACAAAAGAACAAATATGCAATTTCCCTACTAAGAAGGAATCATAAAGGAAGGTACGTCGATGATAATAATAAAGAAACCTACAATTGAAAGAGGAATACATCATTTTTCATATAAAAATAGATGCATCTCTCTCTTCTAAAGCCTATCTCTTTTTTAGAAGCTTCTCTTATGTCTTACTCTTTCTTAGAAGCTAGGTTATCTCCCAATCTCACTCTCATAAAAGCCACTCTCTTTTCACCCTTTCTTTCTCTCTTAAAGGCTTCTCTCTCTTTCTTAAAAACCTCTCTCACTCTCTCTTATAACTTTTTTCATAAATGCTCTCCCTAAAACGCCACTTTATTAGAAGCTTGTCTTACCTCCTTAAATGCTTCTCTTTTTTTATCTTAATACCTCTCTCTCTCTCTCTCTCTCTCTCTCTCTCTCTCTCTCACTCTTAAGACTCTCTCCCCTTCTTGAAAGCCACTTTTTCTCTTTTAAAACTTCTCTCTCACACACTAAAGTCCTCTTCAAGTTTTAATATTTTAGGACCTTTAACACAAATTTTTTATTTAAAATAAATAATAATTGCACTAGTCATTAATATCAAGTTTTTAAAAACCAGACCGAACCAACCGGTCCAATCTATTCAACCATGAATCAGTCATTAAGTCGATATGGTCCATCCTAAAAAGTGCTTTTTGCATCAAACTTGTGAACCAATCTTAGTTCCTTTGAACAGGCTGGTTTAGTTTGCCTAACTATTTTAATAATTAAATAAAATTAATTTATTACATTAAGGATTAAATATTACTTAAATTTCATAATTAAAAAAATTTAATTTAATTTAAAATACTTAAAGTTTTAAAAAGCATGATATTTTTATAATAGTTACTTCTCCAAAACAAACCCAAAAATATATATTATTACATAATTATTATATCATCATTATTTCATTTAAATAATTTTAATATTTATTACATCATCTAATTCAACACCGATCAAATTATTGAATCTTCAACCTCTCCTATTTCTGATTCAATTTTCGGTCCAATGTTCACAACCTTGATTAATATTATTGGATAGTTGCAAAAATCATAATGATAATTTACTAAAAAATAGTAAATTTGAAAACGAGCTGCACAACTCAAAGAATTACCTAAATTTCAGGAAATAAGCAATTTTTTTTTTAGATGAAATAAATAAAGCTTTTCTCTATAAAAGTACAATTTCACCGGAGAAGTCCTTATTATCAAGATTAGGCCAACGCAGAATGAAGCGTTATGCACAAGCTACCATGCATGCTAGTATTGACTGATTGGCTGCTTTTGCATTCAGTTCATAGTAAAACGGCCATTTTCCTCTTTTTTTTTTATCTATATTTAAGTGAATTAAGACTGATGACTTATACACACATCGCATGTACAAGACTTAAATTCAAAACTTCTTAGTTGATAGCCTAAGCTCCCAACCAAAATGTGTTGTGTGCCGTTTTCTAATTTAATTATCTTATTTCCTATTACAACAGAAAATATTTTCAGTCATAATTTGATAATCTTGTCATCATAAAAGCTGCTTGCCATTTGAGCCTACTTGCACCCAGCTGCTTGACAATTGATATACATATTAGCATTTAAAATGAGTTTTTCTTGATATATCACTCTTTTCGACTGAGCCACATAATATGTGGACATGATAGATAAGAAAAAAAATTTAAGGTGAATTTATTTGGAAAGTTTAGAATTACTCTACGAAAACCAACGAAACACAAACAAGTTGGTACAATTTACGGGAATCTTTCACATTTATTGCTGAAGACAACCTGAAATGTATTTAGAACAATGCAAGAATTACAATGACAAATACTTCTACCATAATGAAGAAAAAGCGCTAAATAATCACCCATCAATTGTTTAAAACTTCAAGCACAACTCCTAGAGAAGACAAATCCTGCTTTAGAGAATCAGCGTTTTTAAAATGTATGCCAACCATGCCAGCATTCACAGCTGCCTCCACATTTGTCACTCTGAAACACGAAGAGCTTCAAATCAGTCATAGAAAATTCAAGAGAGCAGTTCATAAAAGTTCTATCATGTAATGAAGGTTTCGTTTAGGACGGTTTTTTTATTGCTTATTAAACCAGTTTTTAGTATAAAAATTAAAATTTATGCACTAAAAAGTTTCTTTAAGAAGCACTAAGAAAGCCCGTCCCAAATGAAGCCGAAGTTAGACAGAACCTACACACATATTAGGTAGCTTTTTATTGTAGAGAAACAAGGAAATGCTGCTGCTTTTTTATATTTGATCTTTTTTTATCTTCTTATGGCGCGAAGAAAGGAGGGGCTAAGGCAATGATTAGGTTGTCTTTATTTTGATATGGAGGCCTTGAGTTTGATTCACGGATCAATTCACAAAAAGAATTTCTTTGTGATGCAAGGATAAAGTTGTATAAGCAGGAGGCCTAACGAACTACGCCCTTGTATCCTCTGACCATGAGAATTATTTAATGTTGATCTCATGACTGCACAAATTGACTCTTCTTTTGGAAGGGTTATGGCCTATGACAGCTACGTTCTTGCTTATCAACAAATGGCTTTGAACACCCAGGCTTTTGTGTTTTACTTTACCTTCCAATCATTTTTCTTTCTAAAGATGAAAATTTCAATGGAAATACAGCACTCCTTTCAAAACTACAATTTTCATGGACATAAATCATAAAAAAATAGCCAGATACTGAATTTGAGGGCTAGGAATGATAATTAAGGTTCTGGTTCTCATAATGGGCAACCACTATGCAAATATTGTCATTTACCATAAGTTTTGTGTGAGCATATCGGGGCCGGTTGCAAATTTTTTTATTATCCTGCCTCTTCTAACTAATTACTCATTTTGCTTCTTTTATTTCTTTTAGTTGCTTTAAATTGCTAGGGGAAAAGGTTTGCGACCTTTGAACCATGAGGAGAGTCCCCCACTGTTGACCTCTGAACAATAACGAAAGGAACAAAAGGGAGAAGAAAGCAACGTGGAAATCCTAAAGCACATACCCGTCAGATCCACGAAATCCTCCGCAAATCCTGCCGTTCGGCGCCATCTGCGTCGTTTCTCCGAAAAATCTATGGAAACCCTGCCTAAATCCTGCGAACTGCCTCGCACAATGATCCCGCTCGCCTTTAAAAGCCGACCAAACGAAGGCTTATGCCTGCTCGTTCCTCTCCCACACGATCGAGCTCCCGTCGCTGCTACCTCACGAACCCCGTCGCCCCTCTGTCGAAACCCCAGCAACCACGACCTCTGCCCTAACCGACGTCCGACCTCTTGCTTCTACGATCCAGTGAGGAAGACAGAGAGAGATAGAGAGAGAGAGAAGAAGAGCTCTACTTACCTCTCTTCTTGCTGTTGAAGCCGACATCTCCGCCTCCAAGCCCCGTCGTCCCGCTCCCCCTCCGGTCCCCTCACGGCTGCTCGGTTTCACTCCTTCAACGACCTCCCCTTCCTGTTGGGGTGGAAGTCACGACATTTTGATTGGAATCAACACGGGAGCTCGCTAGTTGGGAAGGTAACCTTCTCCCTTTCAGGCGCTACTCCGGCCAAATCCCGTAATTCTAAAAACAACAAAAAGGGGGAGGGATGTTTAATTACTTTTAATTAAAAATATTTTTAATTATAATTATTTTAATTAATTATGTTTATCACAATTAATTATATTTAATTTTAATTAACTTGTTATAATTAGTTTTTAATTAATTATGAATAATTTTAATTAGAATTAAATTTATTTAATAATTTTTAATTATTATTAATTATGATTAATTAATTATCATTTATTAAAGTTAATTAATATGAATTAATTATAATTAATTAAATTTAATTATAATTAATCATTTCTAATTAATTTTATTAAATATCATTAATTATTTTTAATTAATTATAATTAATTATAAGTAAATTTAATTAATTAAGAATAATTATAATTAATTATAAGTGCCTCTCTCTCCTCTTGCCTCGATCCACGTGTCAACATCTACAACCCCGCGAAGGTACGGATTTCCTAAACTTAGATTGTCGCTTCCGTTGTATGCGGCCGACCTGAAAAATCGCCTATACACGCCTTTATTGTGCGTGGTGGGATGGGACTCCGATCCGACGCCTACGATGAGGCGGGCAATCACCTAAACTCTACTTCGGCGTTCATGGCGCACAAGAAAACCGCCTATACACGCCTTTATTGGCGTGGTGGGATGGGACCACGGTGCGGCACCTATGGCAAGGCGGGCTCACTTATAAGTGCCCCCGAGCGGGGGGAAAGCAAATTGTGTCTTTTAAACAGGTAACGCAAAGACCCCATACACGCCTTTATTGCGTGTGGTGGGAAGAAAGTTCACGGCCGCGGTGTCCTCGTTCGAGGACACCTACCATACACGCCTTTATTGCGCGTGGTGGGAAAGGCCCAGTTTTCTCATAGTTTTCCCCTAAACGGGGGAGACGCCAGGAGGCTGCCGAAATTTCAGGTGAACACGAGTCCGTACCTGAACTTGATTGAACAAAAATGGGACTTGTACCTGGACTCATTTGAACTCAAAAGACATGAATGAACTAAGTGCAAATTTGAATAAAAGGCTTAATTCAAACTCAAAACCAAACTTGAACAGATGATGAAAGACTTGTGCAAGACTTAAGTCAGACTCAAACTGAACTGAACTCGAACTAAAGTGACCAAGGTGAACATTGACATTGAACTAAAATTTGTGGATATAGAACTTGAGCTTGGACTTGAACTCAACAAGGTTATTTGGGACTTGAACTTGCAAACATTTGACTCAAATCCGAAGTGACCTTAATGTGACGTAGAGCATAAAAAACTTGAAAATGATCTTAATTTGAACCTCAGTGAGTGATAAGCTTGGACTAAATTCAAACAACTTGAAGCTTGATCGGAACTAGACGACGAAGACTTGCAAATTCAAGTTTTACTTGAATAATCACAAGATCTTGAATTCGGATTTAAACCAAGTGCAAAGGGCTTTGAGCTTATTTGAACAACTTGAGTATGCAATAAAATTAGCAGTCAGAGTGAATTGGGCCTTAAATCTAATTATCTTCAATCATGCAAATGATAGAGGGCGACTCCAAATAACTTAAATGAATGCTAAAAGATTTGAAGCATATGGAACAAAACCTTGGTTCATTGGATGAGCAATCAAAATGAAAGGTTAAATAAACAAATCTTGAGCATCCAATTAAACATACATGGATTAATATATCCGACTACTGCAAGTATGATTCATAAGTAAGGGATTCATGGGGGAAATACTGTCAGACATATGATATGTATTTTCTTGTAAACATATAGTGGAACATACGACCAATATCAACACATGACTGATAACAACAAAAGATATGTGGTATAGATAATGAATCGTTCATGAGGGGTACATTCATGAATAAGGCATAGGGATCTAACAGCTTCTCCACATGGATAATAGCGAACACATCAAACTACTTATGATGCATACGACGAGTCGTTGCATCAGACCTATTATACACTCAGTAAGCTATTTGTGAGCAAGTATAAAAGAATTATAATGAGCGTACGCATCAACAAACAGTTGCTAATGCACAATAGCTCACTTATAAGAAGCAATAAGTGACACATAGTGCACCACTATGATCTCTGTTCTTATAATGATCATATCTATCAATAATGATGGTGAATGTATTGTTAGCATAGGAGGGCCTTTGCAGGCAAAATACGGAAGATCATGGTAAATACAAGGACTTACTATCAATAGTAAAAAGTACATTTTATGCATAATAGTATGCATAGGCGGGTGATGATCAACAGGTTATGAACGACATATCACCTCTACAATCAACCACCATTCAGAAGTCAACAAATATGCCAGCCTGTGGCAAGTAAAGGAGAATGATACACAACAAATACAAATACTCCCAAATACATAAAGACTACAGTAAATGCAGTATCTTGTAGTACTTCAGTTTAAGGATGAATACATCTACCTCCAGCAGTAGTGGATGTATTGTAAAGATCAAAATCATAACAGAATGCATAAAGAATACAAGTTCCTATGAGCTTCTACAACTAAAGGCAGGAGATTAGTTAGTGCACAACAATCTACCTGTATAAATCATACAAGTAGTGCACGACAGTCTACCTGTATAAAACAGCGAGCAAATTTATTCATGAACTGCTACACTACGCCACCGGATCCGTAACTTCTATACAAGCGGACAGAAGACATCTACAAATTCTTTCAAAGTACCCCCACACGTGCACCGTAGCTTGTATACACATAGGTACACCAAAAGGGATAAAAGCAATCAAGAACCCGCAAGGGCCCCGACGAGCGTGTTATTGGTACACACGTGACGTCTAGGGATGCTGCGCGGGTCAATAAGTGAATTCAAGTTCGAATCGATTCTTCTATACGGGTCAATAAAAGTCGACAGGGTTCGAACAATCAAACAAGTATACGGTGATGGTGACTGATATATTTGTTTTAATACATTCATTTCAGGCCTTCAAAGGTTTATAGCAATACGAATTCACTAATAAGGGCATAAAACATACGAATCCGATCCTCTATCGATAATTCGATAGAGTCGACAAGATTTAATCAATAAAAGAGAAATGACCTAGAACACCCGGATGATGGCCGTGTTGAATGTTTATCTCAACCGGAGAGGTTCACAAATATTTCAAAATGCCACTCCAACCGAAAATTCAAAATTTTAGAAAATCTCAAAATCCAAAAATATTTAAATTGAAATAAACTATCAATCACTTAAAGCAAAATCCATCCACCCCCCGCAACAGTTTGCCAGGGTGCACAAATCAAAATTTACTTCAGCTCACAAAAGAACAAAATGCCTAGTCGAAAATATCACTAGGATCTATTTTCAAACAATCTCCAGCCAGTAAGGATGTGGAACATGTCCTCTAACCGAAAGTTTTGCCGCCAAATGGCACTGCAGGAAAAACGGTTATAACATGGGGCCCTGTGAACT